TTAATACTTTTATCTGTAATGGCGAAAGGTAGGTATTTTAAGCCAAGTATGAATGAAGATGAGTGTAGGTTGAGTGGCGTGATTTGTAATTTTATTACTAAGGCCAATGATTCTACTACTAGTACTACTATTACCAATTGAGATGGGGACTTAAATGGGATTATTTTTAGTTACCCAAAATGCGTAATAGATAACTGTGAAATGGAGTGAGATGCCTTGTGTAGCTTTGTCACTGATTAAGACTATCCGTTTGACCGTTTCTTTGGCCAGGTAGCTAGGTCCAGTATTCTGTCAAATTTCTGTCTTTTTTCAGGATTTCCCCCCCTACCTTATACCTTAAGAACACATAAGACCAAATTCTTTAAAGCCAGTGTTCAATAATTAAAAACACGGTAAGAAAAATGCATGTTTAGATTTAGCTAACAAAGAATACATGACTCTGCTGGGTATGTGGAAGTATGTTGCTTGTTGTGTAACATTTTGGCCTTTTTAACTAAAAGGATACAAATTTTCACTAACTACAGAGTAAATGAAGTTATTAGGAAAGTTAACAGCACAGTTCTATTATATCACATTATATTTATTGTCATAGAGTCAACAATATTAACATATTGGTCAAACAATAACAAAGTAAAACAAATATCACAGATACTCTATTGTGCTAATGCACTATGGGTACTATTTACGATGGAAGACGATCATCTTTAGGGATTTTTTGTAATACTTGTATAGTATAGAGTAAAATATATAATTTTCAATATCTAACTCGAAACTTCTTACATAAACTAGATACAGCCAGTGTCTAAAAGTATTGTTCTTAAATATAAAAGTGGAATACATAACAACAAATGCTATAAAATACTCACATTCATACATCATTTCTATTGACAAACAATAACAAATTTTATTAACTTTTTGGACTCTAAAATTTATTTAGTTTTGAAAAGATCTATCGTTTGAAATTTATCCTAGTTTGTATTAGCATTACTTTGTATAAAAGTCTGTTAAGTTACAGTATGTTGTTCACAATGCTTGTGAAAGTAAGTATTGTCAATAGAGTAAATAGTAAATATACTATTTAAACATTTTTATAAGAAAGTCTTGACAACATCCGATTGTTTAAAAATGGCATGACAATATTTAGGCCGGCCACACACAGAACCAGGCAAGGCGGGGCGCGACAGGGCATTTTGCCCTGGGGCGTCTTGTGCGACGGGAATTGCACGGGCGCTTATGGAGCTACACACACAGGACCAGGCGAGGCAGGGCACGTCGAAAAGACGCCCCCGGGCGCCCTCAGGGCAAAATGCGAAGGTCTCCAAAATTATGCCCCGAGGCAAGTCGCTGCCGGGCAGAATTTTCTGCGCATGCGCGGTCATGTGATTTATTCCCTTACGGGCTAATTTTGATAAGGATTATTTTACAACTGATACAATTTACATACAAGACTGTAACAATTTATACAACCAAAGATTACACCCTTTGATAAGAACCCCCCTTACCAACACTTACACCCTTTTTGTATGCAGTGATGATATTACTACAGTGGTTGAATAACTAATAATTTATCTTGGTATTGATAACTGAGGAAAGAGAGGGCCAACGTTCATATCTTAAGGGTTTCAAAAACCACTCCTCTGGAGGTATGACTTTGAATTTTGTTTTCTATTCTGCTCCCAAGTATAAAGTAAAATTTAAAAGTTGGCTACATCGGCTCAAGGCTCAGAAATAAAAAATCCTATATTAATTTTCAGGTTTATGGGGGCTAAACTTTTTACTTGACGTGCCCTGTCTCATTCTGTGTATGACAGCAACAAGACATGGCTTAAGTCAGGCGTCTCGTCGTGCCCTGTTGCGCCTCGACCCGCCTGGTTCTGTGTGTGGCCGGCCTTAATGAACCTGTGTGCAGTGATATCCGAATCACAAGACAGTTACTTTATTGGTATTAATTTATAAAAAAATGGCAGCCTCTTTTAACCATCTCCAGTTTTACTTGTGCCTCGAAGGCCTTGGTGGGAACGCATTAAGGTGAGCAAAGAATGAACAATGAGTAAACTATGATAAATGTTAAGGGGAAGTATCAAGATGCAGACCCTAATGCCCATGCCTCAACAAATAAAAATGATTTAAATCTACTGCTGTAGAGGATGAATCGCAATGAGATGGAAAACATGTCCAGTACAATATTCCGAATCAGCTATGCATATATAAAGTTCACACTACTTTTATCACTGGCTGTATCTATGTTGAAGTTGAAATAGCAGAACCTCTATTAGTAATCTTTACTAGTAAACTCAATTACACTTTATTCAAATGTGAGTTCAAAAGTAAAATACCACCGCCGCAGATATAACATTGCATCAATTTAGGGAAGGAGTAAAATAAATTTTGCATGGTTTTAGGAAAGGGAATCTGCCAATGAGAAATTAATTCCTTCCCATTTAGAGACCTTTTGGAAATGCCATCGTTTCAACCCAAATTCATTTAGGAGCTTTACAATATTTTAGAAATGGAACACAAACTAAGTTAAATATAAATTACACTCAACGTACAGAGTGAGTACAGAAGGCTATATTACCTGTAGTACCTTGACAGAATTATTAGGTCTGTTTTCAACAGAGTAGATGATGGTTTTAGAAAGTATTGGGCTCAGCAGGAATATTACGCTACAGCAGTTTTCCACTTGAAAAACAAAATTCACCTCGATGGACCAAGCAAATCTTGTAATATTAACTCTTTACCAAACGAAGTAAATGCAATTCGGTCTTTGTTAATTTAATTTGTCAGATATCCTTAATAAAGAATTAACAGAGGTTCCACTATAAATATAACACAGCAGCTTCTACAATGATCTATGTTCAAACATACACTTACGAACAACGGACAAAAATATCTATATTTTAAATTTACTCACAACACTTCAATATTGTCAAAGATTTGAATGTAGTAATTATTGTTACCGTTACAAGTGTAAAGTTACACTTTAACAACTACAGTAGGCCTAATTACTATAACATTTAATAGCTTAATGAACTAATTGATACAAAAAAAATTTTAATTTAGTGACCGAATAAATTTTGTTTGCCTACATAACAGCTTTTAAATTATTGAATAGCTACAGTACAGAATTAATAGTACAAAAGTATATTACATGGTATGCTCAATACATGTTTAGTATATTTTATATAAGAGAAAATATATCTTTTTACTAATAGTAAAGTTATCTATGACGATGACACATGTAAATCAAGACAACTTTGAGCAATTAAAACATAATACTCTTTACTCAAATACAACTTAAATAAAAAAAGCTCAAAATAAATAATGTCTAATTCAAATGCAATAAATTACTTACAATAACAAGATGTTTATATACAAAGGCTATGAAAAAATCAAATAAATAAAAATCCTACTAGATATACTGCTAGGCAAGAAAAAAGTTTATGGCTAGTACAAAAATATATTTTGTATTGGAATGTTTGTTTGCCTAATTAAAAAAAGAAAAACTATGTAAACCGTTTTAATCTTATTGTCACTATTTATTTGTCACTGTTGGCAAGCAAAAAACGTCTAAATTAATATTCCATAACATTTTGTTTAATGGAAAACTGTTCTAATTGAGCTGCACTTCACTCTCAAAAAACTTGTCGACAAATTTACAAAAACTAAAATTTGTTAGCTAAATTTACTAATAACTTCAGTTACGAGTCAGATTTAAGATCCTGAGAGCCCAAAATGTCATAAAAGTATCTAATTTTAGAACGTGGTATAGGCTTTATAATCTCACTTACTCAAGTCCTCACTTAGTTTTTGTCAATTTTGTCCAAACCATCATCGTATTAGAATTCCCAAAAGCAATGTTTTCACCATCCATAGAGTATTCAAACCTTTATATAGACTACTCATTCTGAATCACATGATGGGAGTACAGACAACGTATCGTCTATGTTCTGAATAAGCAAGTTAGCATTGGACCATTTCAACACTCAAGATTGATGAAATTATATCACCACACACTATACTTTCCAAACTAAAATTTATAAAATGACCAAAAACTAAAAAGTATTTTACTTCTTACAACTTCAAACACTATCCCATGTACGATTCAGACTTGTGCACTGGATTCCCAGAAATCCATAATAGAAAACATTCTAAAAAAAACAGAGTTACACTGCTGATCTACTTTTTACAAATTTTCCAGTCCTAAACATAAAAATAAAATTTATGAACAATCATAACTGACCACCGCTGGGCTAGAGGAAAATCACTTCTTTGCACACCCCTCTCTGGTTCCTCTTCATGTATCAACATGTTTTTTTTATCTCTTATAATTAAACGCTCTCTGTTTAAACTTCTTCAGTACCTACTGGCACCCTAATCCAATTTTAACTTTTCTTAACCTATTTTATAACAAATTAGCCTTCCCTTACTCAGATATCTTTTTACGTTATTCAGTGGAATTGTAAAATTTTTGTCTTATTTACGTTAAGGTAAATTTATTATTCCATCAACCACAAGTGTTTTTTTGTGTTAAGTAGTGAGAGTGACAGTGAAGACTCTCTACAAGCAGATGAACAGTCTGTGCGGATATTTTCCATTAGTATTGCTCTTTAGCCACTAAATAGTACAGTGGAGTCCCGATAATCCGAACTTCGGTAATCCGAAAGTCCGCTTAATCCGAAACCAAAAAAATATTTTTTTAAATTTTTTTATAAAAAAAATTAAAATTTTGAAAATTTTTTGAAAATTTTTGAAATTTTTTTGAAATTTTTTGAAGTTTTTTTTAAATTTTTCGAAACTGGAAATTTTTTGAATTTTTTAAAAGTTTTTTTACTAAACTTTTAACACAGTTAGCTGTGTCTTGTCAACATATTCTGTAGCGGCCAGGTGAGATAGACGTTTTGTAGAGTATTTAATTAAATATTTCACCATTTTTGTTATTACTTTAACATTTTTCATTTTCGTCCGCCAAATCACAAATGGATTTTATTACTGTAAGTGATAATGCTGCAGCCACTAGGTCTAGCCTTAAGTAATGTGAAAAACAATCCCGGACTCGTGCCTGCGTCCTAAGACAAAAAAAAATTCAAAAAATAAAAAAAATTTTTTTTTTTTCAAATTAAAAAAAACAAAAAAAAGCTTTTAATCCGAAATATTCGGTAATCCGAAATGGGCCCGGTCCCAACCATTTCGGACTAACGGGACTCTACTGTACCATTGTGATTGTATTTTAGAAAAACAATTATCTTACATAGTGAAATGCAGTTACAAGAACATAACTAGAGACAGTGGAATGTAAATCTACTTATGGCGTTGGTGGCTGCTGAGTGTTCTTGGCGTGCGCCGCCTGACGTCTCAGATCGGAGCGGATGAGTGCCGTGAGTCCTGTACCTATTACCAGACAGCAGCACAGTACTGCGTTGGCCCACAAGTCACCGATCAACTCCAGCACATACGAGGACCCTGTCAACACGGCAATTGTTGGAATTAAAATATTTGTGAAGGTTTTGTGGGTTTCATTCACCTCTATCGTATGGTGATATCTAGTTGGTCAAATACAGATAGACACACAATCGTCCTGGAGATCGAGTCCGACTTTTTTAGGAACCCGAAGTGTCCAGCTTGTTTAGAGTGGAAAAATTTTATTTTTGTCCTGTACGTGTGTCAAACGCCTAACAACGACTGACTTTTAATACAATTGAACTTAATAATCCAAATTTTTTCAAAACAAGAATTTGGTAGACATAGTAAAGTAGCGTACTATTGAACATTGAAGTAGACATTCCATCTATATGAACCAGCTATAACCAATTTTAAAAGAAACTTTTGCACATGATGATTTTAGTTCAAAAAAGATAATAGACACTATTAATGACACTTTTTGTTTCTACAGTTAACATGCAAGAAACATGATTTCAACAGGTCATGAAACCGAAAATTACCACACACCCCATTTTGTCTGAATCTAGTTGCAGGACATGTTGTTTACACATCCACAGATATTTTTGAAAATTAAAATAACAAATTGAAAATATAACTCGGGAAGGAAATTTTGTCAGCTTTACTGATTGAGATTACACTTCAGGACTTACCAATTGTAAACAGGATGCCAAAGACTTGAGCTCCCGCGTTGAGAAGTCCTGCGGATGTGCCTTCAGGCTCCGGATAGGTTAACTCGGCTCCCAGCTCAAAACCAACCGGCAAGTAGCCTGTCATGAAGAATCTACAAAGCAATGATATTGTCAGAAAATGTAATTAATCCTAAATTTAAGGTAATAATTATTAATAATTAGATGTTCAGTAGACTCTATATTTGGGATTTTTTTTGTTTAAGGGATGGTTTGGACAAGAAACTGTTAATGACTCACCCACATGTGTCACAACTAAAAGGTTTTTAATTAGCCCTATTATGTTCGGTAATCTAACATTTTTGATAATTTCACACTCTCCCAGAAAGCGTTTGATTGTTAATAGTCAACAGATTAACAATACAAAAAAAATAAACGCAATGCTGCATAATTAAATCAAAACATACCCGAGCACCGCAGCAGTTACGTAGACTACAGCGATATATCCACAGTTCAGTGTGAAGGTGTAGATCACCATGCCAACCAACGAGAAGAAATAAACAGCAAGTGTCGTCTCCCTGCAAAAATCCTAGGTTAAAAACATCTGAGGATGTGATACTCCCTGGGTGTGAGTACTACGACTATCCACAGTACTATCCTGATAATTAGACCAATTTGTATATACCAGGGCAAAAATGCGGTTCGGAATCCACTATAAACTGTAGGTCCCTTAGATGCCATTAGCTGTATGGGCTTTTAATTAACAGTTTGTGTCTAAGGAATAAGTCGGCCTTAGTGACTAACAAGACTTACAAGATCGCGCCACTCATCCTACACTCATCTCCATTCGTAGTTATCTTAAAATGCCTAATTTGTATGGTCACCATTTCATTGAAAAGTATTTAAAAGTCTTCATAATTTCTCATATCATACAGTTAGAACTCTTAGTAGGCCTATCTATAGCCTACTTAACTTGGAGCTTGGCGTAAATGTTGTTACATTTACATACGATTCAAAATGTAAAATCAGAAATGATTTTGAATAGCTTTTAAAAACAACACACATAACACATAACAATTAGAATGAATAGAATAGTGTTTTGGCCTTTACCCTTCAGGGTGTATACTATTTTATTAAAGTGAAATTCCAGGTTTTTTCCTGGTTTTTCCAAGTTTTTCCAGGTTCCCGCGTATTTGTTTGGTTCCACTTAAACTATAATCAATCTAAGACTTGCCGCCTAAGTATACAATATAAACTTACATTAAATTTGTTTCAAAGTCCAGTGAGCTAGTGTTGAAAAAGTATTAATCCATATTATAGTAATAATTTTCATTATCATCATTACTTAAGTCCACGGAAACATCGTCTCTCTCGATAGCAGCAAAATCATGAATATTATCTTCATTTTTTATGAACACATTATCAACGGCGGCTAAATCCTGAATATTTCCTGCGGTCGTGTGGTCGCTTCCCACGGTGATGTAAACGTCATCACAGTCTTACGTTACCATAGAAAAATCCTGGACATCTCCCTCGGTATGTATACATTATCGCCATCTCTCGCGATCACGAAAACGTAATCATCGTCATCCACGATTGCGGCAAAATCACAAAAATCTTCCGCGGCCGTGTGGACATCATCATTGACTCCCACGGTCACGTAAACGTCATCGTCATCGACCGCGATCAAGGCAAAATAACGAAAATGTTCCGAGGCCGTGTAGACACCATCATTGACTCCCACGCTCACGGGAACGTCATCGTTGTCGTGCGCGATCTCGGCAAAATCATGAATGTTTCCCGCGGCAGTGTAAACATCATCGTTGATCCTGCGGTCACGTAAACGTCATCATCGTTGTCCGTGATCGCGGCTAAATCATGAACATCTGCTGCCGTGTAGACAAAATCATCGTCGTCTTTCGCGGTCACGGCAAATCACGAATATCTTCCGCGGCCGTGTGGACATCATCATAGCCTCCCGCAGTCACGGAAACGTCATCGTCCGCGATCTCGGTGAAATCATGAATATTTCCCGCAGCCGTGTCTACACCATCGTCGTCTCCCACGGTCACGGAAACGTCATCGTCGTTTCCCGCGGTCACGGAAACGTCATCGTCGTTTCCCGCGGTCACGGAAACGTCATCATCGTTTCCCGCGGTCACGGAAACGTCATCGTCGTTTCCCGCGGTCACGGAAACGTCATCGTCGTCGGCCGCAATCACGGCAAAATCATGAGCATATCACGCGGCCTCTTAGAAATCATCATCGTCGTCTTTCGCGGTCACGGCAAATCACGAAAATCTTCCGCGGCTGTGTAGACATCATCATTACCTCTCGCAGGTATGAAAACGTCATCGCCGTCGTCCGCGATCTCGGCAAAATCATAAACATCTGCGGCCGTGTAGACATAATCATCGTCGTCTCCCGCGGTCACGGAAACGTCATCGTCGTCGTCCGCGGTCACGGAAACGTCATCGTCGTCGTCTGCGGTCACGGAAACGTCATCGTCGTCTCCCGCGGTCACGGAAACGTCATCGTCGTCGTCCGCGATCTCGGAAAAATCATGAATATTTCCCGCGGCAGTGTATACATCATCGTTGACCCCGCGGTCACGGAAATGTCATCGTCGTCTCCCGCGGTCACGGAAACGTCATCGTCGTCTCCCGCGGTCACGGAAACGTCATCGTAGTCTCCCGCGGTCACGGAAACGTCATCGTCGTCTCCCGCGGTCACGGTAACGTCATCGTAGTCTCCCGCGGTCACGGAAACGTCATCGTCGTCTCCCGCGGTCACGGAAACGTCATCGTCGTAGGTCGCAATCGCGGCAAAATCATGAGTATTTCACGCGGCCGTGTAGAAATCATCATCGTCATCTTTCGCGGTCACGGCAAATCATGAAAATCTTCCACGGCCGTGTGGACATCATCATTGACTCCCACGGTCACGTAAACGTCATCGTCATCGACCGCGATCAAGGCAAAATAACGAAAATGTTCCGAGGCCGTGTAGACACCATCATTGACTCCCACGCTCACGGGAACGTCATCGTTGTCGTGCGCGATCTCGGCAAAATCATTAATGTTTCCCGCGGCAGTGTAAACATCATCGTTGATCCTGCGGTCACGTAAACGTCATCGTCCGCGATCTCGGTGAAATCATGAATATTTCCCGCAGCCGTGTCTACACCATCGTCGTCTCCCACGGTCACGGAAACGTCATCGTCGTTTCCCGCGGTCACGGAAACGTCATCGTCGTCGGCCGCAATCACGACAAAATCATGAGCATATCACGCGGCCTCTTAGAAATCATCATCGTCGTCTTTCGCGGTCACGGCAAATCACGAAAATCTTCCGCGGCTGTGTAGACATCATCATTACCTCTCGCAGGTATGAAAACGTCATCGCCGTCGTCCGCGATCTCGGCAAAATCATAAACATCTGCGGCCGTGTAGACATAATCATCGTCGTCTCCCGCGGTCACGGAAACGTCATCGTCGTCGTCCGCGGTCACGGAAACGTCATCGTCGTCGTCTGCGGTCACGGACACGTCATCGTCGTCTCCCGCGGTCACGGAAACGTCATCGTCGTAGGTCGCAATCGCGGCAAAATCATGAGTATTTCACGCGGCCGTGTAGAAATCATCATCGTCATCTTTCGCGGTCACGGCAAATCATGAAAATCTTCCACGGCCGTGTAGACATCATCATTGACTCCAGCGGTAAGGGAAACGTAATCGTCGAAGTACGCGATCGCGGTAAAAATCATGAATATTTACCGCAGCCATGTAAACATCATCGCCGTCTCCCGCGGTCACGGAAACGTCATCGTCGTCTCCCGCGGTCACGGAAACGTCATCGTAGTCTCCCGCGGTCACGGAAACGTCATCGTCGTCTCCCGCGGTCACGGTAACGTCATCGTAGTCTCCCGCGGTCACGGAAACGTCATCGTCGTCTCCCGCGGTCACGGAAACGTCATCGTCGTAGGTCGCAATCGCGGCAAAATCATGAGTATTTCACGCGGCCGTGTAGAAATCATCATCGTCATCTTTCGCGGTCACGGCAAATCATGAAAATCTTCCACGGCCGTGTGGACATCATCATTGACTCCCACGGTCACGTAAACGTCATCGTCATCGACCGCGATCAAGGCAAAATAACGAAAATGTTCCGAGGCCGTGTAGACACCATCATTGACTCCCACGCTCACGGGAACGTCATCGTTGTCGTGCGCGATCTCGGCAAAATCATGAATGTTTCCCGCGGCAGTGTAAACATCATCGTTGATCCTGCGGTCACGTAAACGTCATCGTCCGCGATCTCGGTGAAATCATGAATATTTCCCGCAGCCGTGTCTACACCATCGTCGTCTCCCACGGTCACGGAAACGTCATCGTCGTTTCCCGCGGTCACGGAAACGTCATCGTCGTCGGCCGCAATCACGACAAAATCATGAGCATATCACGCGGCCTCTTAGAAATCATCATCGTCGTCTTTCGCGGTCACGGCAAATCACGAAAATCTTCCGCGGCTGTGTAGACATCATCATTACCTCTCGCAGGTATGAAAACGTCATCGCCGTCGTCCGCGATCTCGGCAAAATCATAAACATCTGCGGCCGTGTAGACATAATCATCGTCGTCTCCCGCGGTCACGGAAACGTCATCGTCGTCGTCCGCGGTCACGGAAACGTCATCGTCGTCGTCTGCGGTCACGGACACGTCATCGTCGTCTCCCGCGGTCACGGAAACGTCATCGTCGTAGGTCGCAATCGCGGCAAAATCATGAGTATTTCACGCGGCCGTGTAGAAATCATCATCGTCATCTTTCGCGGTCACGGCAAATCATGAAAATCTTCCACGGCCGTGTAGACATCATCATTGACTCCAGCGGTAAGGGAAACGTAATCGTCGAAGTACGCGATCGCGGTAAAAATCATGAATATTTACCGCAGCCATGTAAACATCATCGCCGTCTCCCGCGGTCACGGAAACGTCATCGTCGTCTCCCGCGGTCACGGAAACGTCATCGTCGTCTCCCGCGGTCACGAGACGTCATCGTCGTCTCCCGAGGTCACGAAAACGTCATCGTCGTCGCCCGCAACCGCGGCAAGACGCATTTTACGACTATAATCTTCTACCGGGGCTAAAATAAAAATCCCGGATTCGGTCCAAAAATCACGGCTTTTTCCCGGTTTTTTCCAGGTCCCTTCAAATTCAAGGTTATTTCCCGGTTCTCCCGGTTTTCCCGGTTGGTATACACCCTGTAATAGCTTCTTCCGGATAGGGAAATTTGCAAAAAAATAAAAAATAAATAAACGTATAGCTAAAACTAACTACAGGCAAAACATTACAATAGGATTGGTGACAACATACTTTAAAATTGAACATTGTAAACTATTCGTACTTGAATTTATGAGTCTTGTCGAGTACAACTCCACAACAAACGGAGCCCAACATTCCAGCCACTACGATCATCAGACCAATCCTGCCAACGTCTTCTTCTTTGCCCTGAAAAAAAAACCAAACATGATGAATGGACTGATCCAAACAACTCGGCATTGACCTTTTGTGAATTATTTAGTTGTTTACTATAGTTTATCTAAAAGGATTGTTTTTAAAATAATTTAGTGAAATTCATTGGCACTTATTTGATGAGTCGTAGGAGAGACCCAGTCAGATGAATATGAAACCAAGGCAGAGATGTGGCACTTCGGTGCTAACATTGAATTTTATCAGTACTCAATCCAAAACACTAAGACAAATTTTACAAGCAAATTTACAAGCCTTGGTTTGTCACAAATAATGTTATTCATCAAGATACAAAATTACCGTATATTAGAGAAGAAATAAAAAAACAAAGCGAAAAAAATCAAAGAAAGCCATCCAAATTTCCTGGCAGTTAACCTCCTCGATAATAGTGAAGCTACTATAGGCTCAAAAAAGTTAATCCAATAGACCTTCCAAATCGTTTTTAGTTAAACTTTTTAAAAGTTTTTGTATGTTAGTGCACTTGATGGAGTGTAACTAACCCATGTTAAAATTTTCATGAAATTGACTTATTGTTCTAGTATAGAATAGATTGTAAATTAATATTTAAAAAAAAAAAAAACATGCCACATCACTTTTGTACCGTACTCTAGGTAATGGTTCAACCCTTGCTTTGCTGGATATGTTCCACCATTGAATTTTGGATACTGAAGACCGTAAGTTGTCTAAATTTAGTATATCCCATCTTTACGAGAGTTGGTGTGAGATAAAAAATTATACAGTTTAATGTAAGTTGTCTTGGTTAAAAAGTTGGCGTATTTGACAGAAATGTTTGATTTGCATCACCAACTCCGTTGTTGGATCAAATCAACTATTTTTATTTTTATTCCAAAATTACTACAAATTCAAAATGGTATTATGTCTGGCTCTCTTAGCCAAAGGTACCATGGACAGGCCTGAGGTCTAGGTCAACAGGCAAATGCAAGATTTTATCTGTTAGCCTATCACAGCTGAAATACTTCAAATATCACTTACCGGAAAGTAAGCAAGTACGATCTGATTGAGCAGGGTAGATATGGCGTAGAACACACCTACATTGATGCCGTATGACACTAGAAGTAGCATGTACCCGGTGTTAGTAACCAGGTGTTTGATAGAGGTTAGGAAGGGTATGGACGCTGCGCTGCGTTGTACAGCCTGCGCCGGACTGGGCGGCAACTTCGGCGAGCTCTGAAAAACTGTGAGTACTTCAGAGACTCTATTGCAGTTCAAATTAGGTTTGAAAAATAAGCTGACTTTTAAGGTAGAACTTTTTTGTAGTGAAAATTGTTTGGATGAGTTTATTTTTATTGACAACCATCTCCTAATAAATTTTATGTGTCTATTTAAAATGAATTTTCATTATAACACCGCTGAATAATAATTGGGATTGAGTCAGGAATTGATTGGTAAGCCCATCTTGTATATTAAGCATTAGAGACAACAAATTATTAAAAAGTTCCGAACAAGAACTTACAAAGGGGTTGCAACAGAGCAGATAGGCCTAATTATAAATTGCTTAACTGATTATCATTAGGCCTACACTTACAGAATAAAATGAGGACTAGAAGAACTGAAGTGAGAATAGCCACTCCATAGAAGAGTAAGGAAAGACCAGACCCAATCACATCCAAGTCTTCGCTGTTCTTCACAATCATCGGTGGAATCACAAAGCCTAGGGCCACTCCAAGCTGAAAATATATACATCTTGTGGATAAGAAAAACAAACAGGAAAGTACCGGTATGTGTTTTAAAGATCAGTATGGGTGAAGCCAAGTAGCCTAATTGTCCGAGTAGTCATGTGGTAGGCTATATTGCTCGCTTCGCTTTCAAATCTGAAGGTTGCTGCTTCCTGGCTAAGAAGTTTGTTCTGAACCCAGCTACCGTTTCTCATTGTGTTATTGATTAAAGGTGCTTTTCAACAATAGGTCTAAAGATAAAAAAATAAGTTAGTTAAGTTACAACTCCAAGATTAACTTACTGGAAGCATAAAAATTGTAAATGGGGCAAAAACAAACTAAATAAAAAAATAATCAAACGTAACAAGAAAAAGAGAGTTTTGTAAGGGCTAAACAAATTTGAAACTAAGTTAAACAAAATAAGAGTAACTTATATTACACATTATACATCTAGACTAAAATTTACATAGAATGGCTTCAATTAGCCTACCTACAATATACTTGTGTCTTTGTACAGCTAGCCTATAGGTATAGGCCCTAAATAGCACAAGTCGATAAATTAGGTAAGCAACAGTTAGCTTTTATTAATGATAACTTGATTGTCTATCCTGATTTATTGAATTTCATAACTTAATGAAATTATACCTTATGATAATTATTATATGGATAGAGGCTAATTATATGGAAATGTATTAAAATAAGTTACACCTAAATTAAGTTACCTACCCTCTGTAAAACTATCAGTCCCTTGTTAGGCCGTGAATAAAACAACTGTTTTATATGCTGCTAAGTTAGGTACATCTTCAATCTGTAAAAATGTAAACTACGGCATTTCATCTTCTGTCTTTGAATTCATTATGAATTTGTATCGTAGGCGTACAATATTCATAACTTAGTCTATGACACAATACAGAACATAAACAACACAAAATAAAATGTCTGTAACAAAAATTCACTGGATGACTGAGTTGATTGACTTGTTGAAAACACCGAATTGGTGTTTGGTAATTTAATTCATGGTGAAATACTCTAGATGTATAACCCTCGGATAAGAATAACTAGCCACATAATTTGAAAATGTTAGCCTATGTTTAAACTTAGGCCTACTCACTTTTTATAAATAAATGTGCGTCCTAAGACTTTCCCTGGTTTAGGGCCTGTATTGTCCAAAAAAGTAGAACTAACTTACTAATTCTAATTTCTAATTTTAGCCCCATTCTGTAAACTCAACATCAGACTGGAAAATTTGATCTTCAGTTACAGGCTGTAAAGATATTGGGAGCTGGCTGTGATTAGAATAAGATGATGTCGAGGGTTTCATTGTCAACTGTCTATCCTTATTGAGCTGTGACGTTGTAGTTTCACTTTTGGTTCTACGCTTCGCTAACCAATCTTCAAGTGATGCTTCTTGGATATTAGAATAGCTTTTACTTTTTAATTCAGCCTTTTCTATTTCGTTCTTCATAAGTTGTAAATCTTCTTTGGAATAATGAGTAAAGTTACAATTCTCGTTGAACTGACACTGACCAGTTTGCCTAAATCTTCGACATTCTTCTTTAGCTGATTCCTCCTCATATATTGCTTTTACATCTTTAAACTTTTTGTAATGATTATTCCTATTTCGGATATGGCCTATGCCTTGAATGTGTTTTCTTCGTGATTCTGGATCATCAATAAAGGTTTTATCACAATAGTCACAAAAGTACCTTTTCCCCATTGCTACGAAGTAAGTAACTTTTTAAACCAATACTAGGCCTACCTTATAACTTAGGCCTAACACTATTTTTTTAGATTACGGTTCCTTATAAATTGAATTAATAAAATCGTTTCAGGATAATCAATTTTCTCTTAGCACAGCAATTAAATTACTAAACTGAGCCAACGTTTCTTAACAGGTTTGGTTTGGCCGCGGTGGGGTTATGTTTATTTTTATTAACGATTTACAAGTAATTGAAATAAAGACTTATTTTAAACATGATACGTGGTTACGCACTTAATCACTGAAAACACAAGAAATAAATACACTGAATCTTACGACAAAAACATTGCTATTCAAGCATAGTTTACATAGTTTAGTATTTCGTGCTTGCTGCAAACGACCGTCTGCTGGGGCTGCTGGTAGTGATGGGAGAATCGAATACAGAATCGAATAGTATTCGAATACAGCCCGAGTATTCGTAGATTCGAATACTTCAGATTCGTACGAATACTTTTTTGTGAATACTCTTGACCTCAGATTTTGCAGGATTTCTTGCATCTAGAAAGCGAATTCGGGGGATTCAAAAATGTATTCAACACTTTTTCAACTACTGAATTCCCTTTTGAATATCTTACGAATCCGTAGCATTCGTAAGAGTATTTAATGTTTTTACTGCAGCATTTGTTTTCGTCTATTCGTTATAGTTTTACCATTAGCCCTATAATTTACATAAGATTATTATTAATCGTTAACATTTAGAATATATTGGATATTTAAAATATTAGGTTACTACCTACTGGTAGAGGGCAATTGAATAGAATTTATTATAACTACAACCGATTTATATAGTTACATGGCAAAATAACATGCATATCTGATGTAAATTATCCATACCAATGAATAAGACATATTATTTAAGATATTAATTAGTTAATATAATAGAAAATAATACATTAATAAGACTGTAACTGACCATGAAATAATTATAAGTCAAAATAAATGTACCTTTTAAAAATCATATAATTTAAAATTACATAGAATAAATTATATTAATGAATTAATTACTGTAAAACGAAATAACAGTGGCCAAAAGAACGGGAAAAAAGAATTACACACTCATTTTCCATGCTTTGCATACTCAAAGGCGTTCGAATACAAGTATTCGTAAAAGTATTCGAATACAGGGGAGGCTACGAATTCACGGTATTCGATTCTCTAAAGTATTCGATTCTCCCATCACTAGCTGCTGGCGTCTCGCTCGGCGTCTGCTGGTCTGAATAAATCTCGCGCATGCGCAGTTCGTTGAGCGCACTAGCGTTTTCTTGTCCATGTAACTGTTTCGTCCGTTGATTCCGCTGATACTTTACAATTAATTCTAGCTGTCAACAGAACTGTGTTTTTTTAATCCTAAGATGAGGATGGACATTTTTGGACATGATTAGAAAAGTTCATCAGTATCATTCATCTCATCAGTATCAAATAATTCTCAGGGGTGAAAGCAAAATGTTCCAAGCAACTGGACATTTGCTCTCAATCTAAATGCATTTGAATGTCTTGATATTTCTTTGTAAAAATAAAGAAAAATGAATGTTTATTCACAGGTTTGTTAAGGGATTACAGGAAAGTAAAATATATGTGGCAAACAAGATCAGGCCTTGCTAGTAGTAAATTTTGAGATGAAGTGCGCTGTTACCGCTGTTATTCTAAAAATGAACCTTACCTTATATATAAACTCGCTTTTTATGTATAAAATAAGCAATTATACGCAGTTTATAGAGCATAAATGTCTGTTCTGACATTTTTGGTTGATTTTATTATGATCTACAATTTTTGTTCGCACTAAAAAGGCAAACTCTGCTTGAAAAAATCGACTATAACAAAGCACCTTCGAATAATAAAATTCCTTAATATTGAGAGCTTTCAACGGGATCGTTCCAAAAAGTAACAGAAACAGCTACCCGCTATAGCGTGTCACATCTCATTATACGGGGCAAAATACAGGGGTAACAGAATACGCTAACAAGATGTGGTGTACATATAATCTCATAACAACCAGGGATAAAAGTGAACGCTTTTTTATTCACAATGTTAAACATATGAAAAATGCCTACCTGGTTTCCAAAGACCCCGATAGAACATGCTGAGGAGACTTCATCGGGGCCGAACCAGGTAGCGGCCAGAGGTGCGGGCATACTGAGGACGAAGATCTGGGAGATGGCGACCACGGTTTGGCCAAGGAACGTGACCAGGAAGCGGTCCGGGGCTACGGAAAACACCTTGATCCATGCTCCTGCGCAGGTCCCCAAGGCTCCAAGAGTGACTGCCACACGAATACCCTGAGGAAATTCATTATTGCCACATAAGAAGTTTCGTAACGTAACCCAAATCCAGGCAGAACTATAAAATACCTAACACAAGTGGAATCCTCTTTCCATCAATTTGTAAAATCCGAAGGTGGGGGTATTTTTTCTCTAATTTTAGGGTTAATTTTATGATTTGCGCTTAAGACCTCTATTGTTATAAAAACAGAGAACGGGCTGTTGCTCATAACTAGGTAAGTAGTTTCATTTGGTTTAGATACTGTAGTCTAAAATAAGTTAAATCAAGAAACCTTCAGTAATCAACAAAACATCTGTGACATGAGAGCCGAATGGAACTAATCTGAAAATGATTGTCTTCAGCCAATGCTTTAGCTGATCCTAGAGGATTTGTATATATATAACTTTTCGTTTTAATCATTCACTCTATGAATGAAAGTAGGCTATAATATTATATACTGTCTGCTAAACCTAGCAAAACTTAAGTATATATATAGTACTAAGCCACACATTAAACAATTGAAAATACTGATACTGTTAGGTTTGATATTTTCGTAAATATAATGGAGGCGGATATCAGAGTTTCGCTTAAACCCACTTAATAAATACAACTTAAGCATGTGTACTTTACTGAAGTTTGTTGATAAGGTCTCCACCAGTGGAATTTCATAGCAAGAGACATTTTACGATTTTATGGGGAAAATAATCCACCTCTAACACTTTAACAATCCCTTCTCGGTCTTTTAAATAACAAAATAGGCTGCATTACTCCCGACTGTGATAAAAACGCATGCATGTCAAAACGCAAAAACAAATAGGCCTAATTAATAACATACAATAAAATAAAGAAAGCAACACTAGACTAACTACTAATCTGGGGATCGTTTAAAAACTTGGGTGCATGGCTATACCAGGGATCGGCCGGTCACTCTCACACCAAACTTCTGGGTAACCCCTAAACTATACTCCGTTCACAAAATTTAGGCAGTTTTAGGGAGGTTCCACCCCACTATTTTTTGCTTAATGTATTTTTGTTGCCGCTGATTGACGTTTTAGTAAACCTCAGCTGCTGCTGCTGAGTTATCTAACAAGGATCTAAACTTTTGAGAAATCCATAAGCCGCACACCTATCAACAGCATACTTGAATGAAATGATGTGAATCTTCCCCGAAAAATACAAGTTTTCGATAAACCCCATGGTGGAATGTATGGATAAACCCTCTCCTAAAGGCAGGAACCTCAATTAAAGGGCTGTATTTAATCACGAAGATACATCAGCTGTTAGATTTGTTTTTATTTTAGTTTGTTTACTTTTCCTTGAGTTAACTTCTGATTCTACGATTGATTTCAAGATTGGATCCAGAGAAGTGACAGTACGTTTTTCTTATATTGTGCGATGGCGTTCAAGAATTGTTTTTTTATTGTTTACTTATTATATCAGTATACTATATTTTAAAACACAGCAATTGATTTTGCAGACAAATTATGTGTTTATAATTGTGCGTTTGGTCGGTGCCTTATGTGTTCCAACTGGGAATAAAACACATCTGAAGAGTATTTTTCTTGTGACATGGACATTGATAAACTTAATTTACATCAAGAACAAACGCTTATTGCATGGGACAATACGGTGAAGGATCACCCTCTTCTCTGTCTTCTCGCGGCGAGGCACGGGCAGAACAAGTTCTTTTAAAGGTAAGAACTTAAGTGTAAGGGGTGGATTTCTTCCCCTGAAACCACCTAGTTTGTCATGGATTAAGCATACTACCTAAAGGTAGCATACTAACGTACATCTACTATTTTTCTACTTTTTTCTGTGATTTTGCTACGGAGTATAGCAAAACATAAATTATGTAGGTACTTCTTGTAATAGTCTATGATTGATTAGATAGTTGAAGTTCGAAATATATAAACCAAGTATCCAAAGCAAGATGCAAGTAGATCAGCATTTCAGGTAGATAATTCAAAAACCTTTCTTAGCAAATTACTTTAGTTCAGTTTTCTCAAGCAGTTCATGCCCATAAATCTTTTTACGCAGGAAAGAGCTTCTATTGAACCGACGGCGTGATTTGTTGCTTTCCAGAAATAAGATTGAAAATAGACTACGGGTGCTTCATTTTGCACATTTCAGGTAAAATCTATCAACGATCGTTATTTAGCCTTAAGATTTACGTTCTCACATGTTTCCAACTTTACACATTTTTTAAATAGATTAGGCCTACGTCAAAAAATATAATACAATTTTAAAATAGTGAGAAAAAAATCCTCTTAGTCTTAATAGCCGCCTTTTATGATCACCATGCATAAAATAGCCCGAGTTCGAATGATTTTCATTGTTCTGGATTCTCTGTTTATGACAGGTAAAGTAAGGCGTGAAATAGGTTGATAAATGTTTGCGGTTTCCAGAGGAGTATTGAATACCTACCGTATTTTATTTCACTAAACGATAAAATAGTGGCTCCATTTTTACGTTTCCACCATAAAAGTAAGTGAGTGCTAGAAGGGCTCAAATTGCGCGTTTTAACAGGGTTTAAAGCTCGTTTTCAATGCAAAACGGATAATGTAAAAAAATAATTATTAATTTATGATTAGCTGAAACTATAACCTAAGTCGTAAATGTTCTTGTTTGGATAGATTGTTGTGTTGTAGTGGTCCTAAAGAATAGAATATTCATATCTCAGATTCATCTCGTAAAAGTACTATTTTTTGTACCACCTTCACATCCTAGGAAACTAGGTTCTAGCCCAGAACTGTTTTTCACATTACTTCAGGCTAGTCTTAGAGGGTTGCGGCATTATCACATAAATAAAATCCTTGGTGATTGGCAGGATTTGAACCCGGGACTTCACGATCCGATGACCCCGAGCTCTACCACTAGACCATCTCGCTCCCCTGATCGTCATATGTCGGTACTATATAGGACGTTTTACTTTGACAAACTCTTTCGGTGCTATAATATAAACAAGCTGAGAAAAAAGGTTTTAAAGAAACATGCTTGCCTATTAATATATAGATAGATAGTTTTGACTCTATATGCTACTACGTTATATCATAGACAAAAAGAATGAAATATAGACCGTCAGCGCCGTCAGCTGTGCTGCGGTTACCATAGGTTCCGGCGCACACCGCTTGGAGCACCACGGTAGTTACGGCGTACGCGCTACGTAAACTACAGCGGTATGCGCCGGAACCTATGGTAACCATGGCAACCGCAGCACGGCTGACAGTCTATATTTCATTCTTTTGTCTATGGTTATATTTAGTGTTATTTATCATAATAATGAAAAACTTCATCTAGGCTATGTACCTATTTGATTTCTTAGACAACGGGCTCCCAGATTCAGGTGCTATAGGCTCCCAAATTTTACAAAGTTATTGGCAATACTACACGTACCTACACAATCACTCAATGGTAATATTAAAAATACCCCCGCCGCAGCAAACCTACAGACTAAGGGAAATTTTCATTTGCCTAATTGGATTTACACTAAAATGTCTCCTTAAAAATATCACATTAATTATTCCCTATTTAAATAGCATTAATTAAACGAGTACTCTAGGTTTGCTGCAACAGGGAGGGTAAAACAGTGTTTTTTTATGTTAATAGTTTAGTATGAAATAAATGCATTTTACAAATGTGATCTAAATATGCTCATAAACAAGCAAACAACAACAGTTTACTTATTCTCCATTAAAATAAAATGGGAATTTGAAATTTAAATTTTTTTAAATTTTCTCCGTAACCATAAGCGCGTAATTACGTTTCAATATACTAAATTATTTGTTTTTTAAGCTCTACAAAATGGTTTGGAAAGAAATAGCTAAATTTTTTGTTTTAGGGTCAAAATGAGAAAACCAATTTTTACCATGAGTACTAACTACGGAAATAGCTTATTCCCTATGTGGGAAATTCACTAACAAATTTGTAAATAATCATTTCTCCCAAGTTACTCAAAGTACTCATTGGAATGAAAAGCAAACTAATTTCGTTCCCTGCTGCAAAAAGATGATAGATAGCCACATGTATTCGCATCAAACATTTTGATAACATCGACGTTGCGTTGTCGAGCAACAGCGGTGGGATGTTGTTGCTGTTGAGAGATGTATTCCGCTTGTTATGATTTATTTATCATTCCCAACCAATCCCTATCTCAATCGCAATAACCGTTCACATTGTCCATTGGCAATGATTTACTTTGATGGTTTTGGGCGAACATTACTGGAATGAACGTGATATGTCATTAACTTCCCGGTAAAAGCCAGTTAAGGTGTAAATATAAATATAAATAGATGTCGTAATGTGAATTCAAATTAGGAACTTACTGTGTGGAGTCAAATACCCCCGCCGCAGCAAACCTGCCGTCTAAGCGAATTTCCATTTGGCTGAATTGATTTTCAATCGATCTATTAAAAAAACATTAGGTTTAACGAGTACCTAGGTTTGCTGCAACAAGGAAACCAATAAAGTGTGTGTTTTAAGTAAAATAATTATTGCTTAGTAGAAAATGAATATATTTGCCAAGTTTGAACAAAAGATATCCATAAACAAGCAAACTACAACATTTTACAATATTCTCCATAAGAATAACATGGGAATTTTAAATTTACTATTTTTTTAGTTTTCTCCGTAACCAATAACCGTACAAAAACACTTTGATATACTGAATTGTTTGTTTTTTTAAGCTCTTTAAGAAGGTTTAGAGAAAAATTGGGAAATTTTGTGTTTTCAGGGTCAAAAGTGAAAAAAACAAACAATTTTTACCCCATAAAACCCTGTTCCCATGGTCCGATCATGCTGGATCGCGAACTCATTCAAGTTTATCCCGCCTTACACCTTCAAACCAAATTTCATCAAAATAGGATAAAAATTACTCAAGTTATCGTGTTCACGGACACATATATATATAAATCTACATATATATATATATATACATATATAAAAATTTGAACGAATGGTGTTTTTGGCCTCTGGGGACATCAAAATGAAAAAGTAAATCGATCCCGGGCCTAAGTCTTACCATGAGACCTACAGTAATAGCTACTTCCCTATAGGGAAATTCGCTAATAATTATGTTAAAATACGCACATAGTGGCGTCCCCTTCTTAAATAATTGATAATTGATAATTGTCTTGAAGTACGTATGTGTGGGACACATTATTAAGTATGTAAGTGAAAACCGATAAATACGATACAAATACTGTAGTATACATAGTATTGGTGTCAAATAGAATTTTCTTCATTGGTCTAATCTAACTTTACTGTGTATCATATACATTCAGCAAAACAATGGACTCTTTATATGGAAATGTATAGTACCGGTACAGTGGTCGAAAAATCTTTTCAGGAAATATCGTGCAATTAATTACGATAAGTAATCAACATAGTAATTTAAGTATTTATTTATGGTGTAATATAGAATCCTCTTTAGTGTAATATAGATCCAAACGTGTACAGACAAATGGTCAATTCGGAAGTGATTAGTACAAGTATTTGTGTATTCCCTCGTGTAGATGACAGATAGCATCCAGTATCAATTTCAGTACAGCAGTTTTCTGTTTTGAATCAAGTACAAATTCCGATAACAATGTTTTTCTTCATAACAAACTTTTTTAACCAGCGTAATAACCGATGTCAATAGTACGACAAGTAAGTTAATTTACCATATTTTGCTGCTTAAAACAAACGTTGCCTTCAGTTGAAGAAAACGGTACATAGAAGCTTCGTAACAATGGAAAAGCTTAAAAACGATTTAACGAACAAAGCTAATGGTATGAATTGTGTCGAGAGTAATGTGACTTAATAAATAGTCTTTGTTGCGACTTTGCGCTTGTCTTGAGGACAATGTTTGGTAACAAAAACGTCACTCAATCATTAAAGTCGTTCTACAAATTACGATTTCTTGAATTTGTAAACTAGATTTAGGTTTCAGTCGAAGTAATTTCTAATTATCTACTACAAGGGAATGAAACTTGACACGATTTTAGGTCTTGGTCCCAAACCACCTAGACAATTCCCAAAATCAACATTTTCCCCTTTTTAACCTCCGAAATGTTATGGTTCGAAACTGTGGACACAGCTGTCCTTATGGTCCTGGCTAAAAACAGCTGATCCAGTCAATAAAAAGCTACGCAAATAATCGCACATTCTACTACCACCGTTGGGAAGCACGGGTAAAGCAGCTATATCAAGAAAGAAAGTAAATTAGTTACAATACTTACCAGCTTGTCAATCAGCCAGGATGCCGGGAAGACGAAAGGTATGTAGGTGATCATGTAGATCATCGATGTCCAGTTGACGTAGGAGCTGGGCACATCGTAGTACTTCTGTACTACATTGGCGATGATGGAGTACTCGATCCACTGCATCGCGTTGGACATTGAGTACACGACGAATAGAGCCAGTATAAACCATCGCCTCGTGTACACTCGACATTCTGCGGAATCATGGGTTGGTATTACTGCAGAGTCGGGCAAAACTCCCGCGTAAAGCGTCTTGACAGTCATCGTGGTATTGCGTCGAATCCCACGCCGTCGAATCCCACAGCTTCGAATTTGCACCGCATCAACACTGATGTGTAGTTACAGTTTGGGAATGTCCTAGGTTAAATTATGATGGGTTTGATTGTTAGTGAGAAAATTTTCTGAAAACAAGGTTGGCTATTGGCGTTACTGTTGCTAATATGTACAACAGTCAATGGTACAACTAAATTATTTGAATTGGTGAAGAGTTTTTGTGGAATTATACCAGGCGTAAATTCTCTTTACGACAGTTGAAACGGTTCTGTATGAACCCAAAAATGCAAAATATCATTTTTATAAAGTTTATTGCAGGGATTATTATTTTAGGAAGTTTTAACTTTGTGTTTGATGGAGAATTTTAGGCTTACTTGATAGTAGAAAAGATATTTGTTTTTGAAGTATGAGGATTATTCAAATGATTGTAAGATTTAAATGGCAAGTAGATGGTTTACCGATGGTAAACTATTGCTTAAGTGGGGGTTTTAGGAAGATGCACGGTGGGGAGTAAGAATTTCCAAATAATGTGTACACAAATGTACTAAAAAAAGAGAATACTAGATTTTTCTTGGATTTGGATCATAGAGAGACATGGATTGGTGAAACAAACTAGAGAAATATGAGAAATTAACGTAAAATTCACTATAGTTGAATAAAAAAAAACTACATCTTGAAATATTTTCGAGACGAACTTTATAGTTCGTGATACATTGTCAATCATATTAAGATATGGAAACCATTACGATTACTATACATTTCACCATAACTTTCAATCACGCCGCTGTATTATTTTAAATAAATTTTATACATTAATCACTATTATTCTTATTATTGAACACAACATATTTTACCGAGTTTCATGGTTGAATAAACAGTTTTGATCAAAAGTTCGTTTTTGAAAACACATGAGCAATTATTATGGATAAAGTTATGATGAGAATCGCCACCCAAACGTCACACAAGTTCAAAGGCTTGGGATCTAAATACAAATTCAAGACCATTGTTCCTGATCCAAACAATTCCAGTCTGCCGTTCCTCTTTGTCCTATTCACGTGTCTTTTCATTCATTTTCTATTATCTTAGACCTGCGTTGAGCGTTCGCATGGACGCTATTGTAATTTAGTCTTAATTAAAATTCAAAATACAGCATCATCAATTGTTAATAGAACTGCGTCTGTAAAAATTTGAATATCAAAAACTAAGGTGACGAGTTTTAATTAGTAGATATTCAGAACCTTTATTCATTAGTGATTTGATAAATCATTTTTAGGTATTTGTGGCGCAATCTAAAATAACACAAATTTGTTACTTTTGGAAATACGGTTCTAGTGAAAATACCTTTCAAATCTTTTCTATGTTTGATAACATTGAACTGTAAACATTTCTGTGGTAATTATGTACATAAAATATGTCTATTGGTCAAAATCATTTGCATTGTAACATTTTTAATATTTGACCGTTTTAGAAATGTTATAGTATGAGTAAAAATACATTGATTGGTGTTGGGTAAACAAATTGTTATATATTCATACATTAGGCCTATCACCAACGCCTAATAACAAACTTATTTTTGGAATTGTTTATTAAAAGCAATAGAAAAGTGATGTTGTTCCTATGATCCGTAGAAAACTTCAGAAACTAAAAAAATATAAACTATTGCATGTAAATAATTAGTTAACAAATTTTGATTAATATTATTATATATGCCAGTAAATAAAGAACGATGTTATTTCGAATTTTAAATGGAAAAATATTTTTTTATTCAAATAAAAGTTTAAAGTATACAAAATTAAATCACCTCCCAAACGAAGTTTTACTCATTAACGCAAATCTTAAGACAACAAATAACCACAGACGTATTACAAATAGGCCTAACCTAAAGTTATACTACAAAGATCATTTATAGGTAACGAAATTTTCAAACGAAAACACAAATAAATAAGCAAGCCAATTTCGAAACACGTGTAGGCCTATTGGTTGTGAAGTGTGTGTTTGTGATTCAACATAAACTCAAGAAGGTTTTGAAGTGCGTAGTTCGCAGATCCTCACCATCTTACGAAGAGAACATGAATTCACAATGGCCCATTGTTCCCAGTCCAGACAATTCCAACAATCCATTGTTCCACGGGGACCGTCTACAATGATTTTCATGACTCTGAACTTGAAAGACGCCGCGCCGCGTAGCTTTCAGCAAAACAGAATCATCGCTTTCTGCCGAGGAAATATACGAAATATTTATAAGTTTAGTTACAGGATTTTGTATGCAGCTTTAGTATTTTTTTTATAAAACATTTAAAATTGTTATTTAATTCGTTCAGTTTTTTCCACACCTGATGACGGAATCAGATTCAAGATTCCGAAATGTCGTGAACAATTTATTATACCAATCATGATGAAAGATTTCATTATTATTTCAAATAACAACCTTGTTATGTTTTAAAAATGAAATTGCAAATCCTGTAGTAGGCATAATTATTATACTGTAGTCAATCTTAACACCTCAGCCCGTAATGAATTATTTACAAGAAATACAATTGAATCAACTCGATTGGTAGCAAAAGTAAACCCAAGGAAAGACTAAAGTAACAGGTTTGAAAACTCGATCCATAAATCCACTTAAACACCTGAAATGGGTTTATTCACTCCCATCCAATCTTGAGTTATATCTTATAATCCGGCGCATTCAGACTAAGGAAATTATTGCCGAACTTTTTTGTTCCATCTTAAACTTCAACATTAACGAGTAAAGTTCCCGCTTCAGCCTTCGGAACGGGTTTTATTGGGTTTATAAACTTGAGGTAACACTTTTTTGTTTTTTCCTACACAAGTGGCATTTTGAATTAGGAAACGCAGACGATTTTAAAGTCATTATGTCGAAATAAGTATTTTTTGTGAAATGCCGGGAATTGAACCCAACCCACTCGCACCGAGACGCTAACCACACTAAACTGTTTCTACTATTGCTAAAAGTAGACATCCCGTTTTAAAGTAATAATTGTAGCTAGTTTTAGAATAAAAATACTAGTTGAACATTCATTTCAGGTAGTATATAGAATGTCTAGTTATTCAATAGAATGCACAATTATGTATATACTTTGCCTGTAACATATAAATAAATTTGAATAGCCGTTTTAATACGTAACAATTTTATATAAATATATATTTAAATTAGAATAAATGCCTTTTTGACCTCCTAAGACATCAAAACGTAAAAGTAAATGAGTCCCGGGTCTAAGTCTTTCCGTACCACCTGCGGTATTAGCTTATTCCCTACACCTAAATTCGCGAAAAGGGGAAAAATTTAATTTAATACAATGATGCTATATGCGGGAGACTCATTGAACTATGTTCAGTTTGAACACAAATTTTCTACAGCTAATCCGTTTGTGATGTCTTCTTCATAATCCCAAAGCCAAGGGTGAAACTATCGCAGTTTCAAATGCGTTAAACCGAGTACATAATTTAGATATCTACTTTTTATCTCCTAAATTCAATTGGTTTTGTTTAGCGAAGAATAAAATTGGCAATGATAATAGGAAACTCTTGAAAGTATGATGAAAACTTCAAGTATCTGATTTACAATAAGGCACTCGACCGATAAGAAACTAATATTGCAACGGTACAGATTGAAAAAAGTTGAGCCTTTAATTAATATCGATTATTTTCTTACTAATTTTAAATATTAATACGCAAAAGCTCATGGGTGGTTTAAATACTACAAGTACTCTTTTAATCGCAAAAAATGTACAGGCTTATGCGAATTTACTGAAAGAAGACAAGAATGCGAATCAATCTTACAATTTATAATAGCATACTCTTTCATTGATTTATAATTCTTATAACTGACTTTTAACCAGTGCACTAAATCACATACTTAATGATTCGAAACTTAATTAATGAAAAACCAAAACAAAATGTAGATAAATAATCAGTTGATATATCGTTGAGCCGTTCTGTTTCCAAACAATACAAAAATGTATTTGTTAACTTTTACCTAACCCGCCATGTTAAACTTCCCTGTCCCAAGCGTGATGTATACAACCTCTTTACTTCTCCGAGTGAAGTAAAGTTTTAAAAACTCACTCGGTGAGGTAATGAAACCCATTTAAATAACATTGAGTGCACAACTTAAAAAATATACCTCTATGCAGCCAAAGACGTTCAACATTAGAAATCAGCTGTGCGCTTGAATTTTATTGTTATGCCATTGACTATTGGTCAAAGGTTATGCTTTAAGAATTTTCCTAACCTAGCGTTTGTTTGTAAAAGAACAGCAACAGGGACGTTAGAGTGAAATGGATAATGAATAATATTGTACGTAGCCCCCAGTATATTGTCGGGTCAGGTAAAATCTTGTAATTTATAATAGCATAGTCTTTAATTGATTTATGATTCTTATAACTGACTTTGTAACCAATGCACTAAATCACACACTTAAGGATTTGAAAAAAAAACAACATGTACATAATTAACGAAAACCCAAAACAAAATGTTGATATAATAATCAGTTGACATGTAGTTGAACCTTTAACTTTACACCACGTGAGTTTTGTAGGGAAAGACAAAGGAACACATCAGTGAATCCCCTACTCTTCACCTGAAGTCTTCTTTATATAATCAAACGCAATACCTCTTCAGTGATAAAAGAGACAAAACATATCTGACGTTTACTTGTATCAGCAATAACTCAAGTTTGTTATCCAACAGACTTTCTTTGACTTCAGTTTAGGAAAGGTTATGTGTATGATTTTATTAAGTTGTATAAACTGTTTGATTGGTTTTGATTTTGTTTTAGTAATTTTAGTCAACAATGCGTATAAGCGCATTGACATGATAAACAATTAAGAATATTATAATGTTAAATTAGTTTATATCTAACTACTTCAATTGACTTGAACATTTTTAATGGTGATTTCCCCATAAAAACAAATAAAATAACGGAATAATCGGAGTTTAGTAACGGTTCGAAAGATTTGTAATAACAATTTATTATTTTATAGTCCTTTATACTGATAACAAAATAATAACCTAATGGTGTAGAAATTACGGTTCAAAAGAAATTGCAATTTCTGTGATTTTTTCCATGAAAAATTATATTTTCTACCCACAGCTTTCCCTTGATAAG